AAAGTCTTCCCTGTATAAACAGGTCCCTTCGATGAGGGCCGAACTTAAAAAGGTGATATAGGAGCATTTTTAAAGTTCGTGTCTTTCGTAGGAAGACGTCCTCTTGAGTCCCCCCCGTGATTAAATTATAGAAACATCATTACCCTCTTCATCTCTGTTCTCATCTTCGTCGTCGTCGTCATCATCATCGTCAATGTCGATCTCTTCGGGGTTGGCAACTGGTTCATTGTTTTCATTATCGCCTTGACTTGTTTCAGCCCTGAAAGATACCGAAAAAGAACTAAAGTGAGCCGACTTTATAGAACTCAAATCTTTGGCATTTCAATTCTAAATTAAGCATGGCATCATGATTATCAAACTCAATTTCACCCTCACCTAACAAATAAGACTTTTTCCTTCAACTTGGCGGCTACGTCTGTCTTAGCCTTAGCTGCTGCCACAGCCTGAGCCTGCTGTTCTAGTAGCTGCATGTCATCGGACACAGCCTCTTCTGTTCCTACTTAATCAGATGGAAAATAAATCGAATTTAGGGCAGAAAATGTGAGATCACCGAGAAAAACCATCAGAACAAGGACAAAAATTAACACTTGGAATCCAAGAGGAGTCGTTGATACAATTGAATATTTAGCATCAAACTTGGACGCCTCACTTAAACAACATACCTGCTCCTGCAGATTTGCTAGCAGCCGCTGCCAACATTTGTGCAGACATGAAATTGACCTGCAAAAATAATTGTAAGCAATTGTTATCTGAGCAGTCATCCGAGGGAGTTAAGTACAGAAATATCTCACTTCGTTACTGGTTTTCATGTGACTGTGTTCCGTGCGAGTGATTCAATGAAATGACAATAATAATGACGTCGTTTAAAGAACCCACTGACCTGAGTATTAAACTGAGCCTGCACGCTCCTCTTGATACGTAACATTTCCCGGAATGTATCTTCGTTTCCATGGCGAACCTCGAAGTCATGCCACACTTTCCAGAAAGTTGGAGTGGTCTGGAAACAAACGAAAATCATACTTTTAGTCTCATCCTTGATAAGTAAAAAACGCACTACAACAATATAAGAACAAACCCTTGGATCAGCCATTTGTGAAGAGTGCATGTAAATAGCTCTGGCTCGGTCAATTTCTCCCAGTTTGCGCTCAAGGTCGGCAAATCTGATGCACATCTCCCTGAAAAATTAAGAAAACCAGATTGGCGGGCTTCTTAATCACTCGCTTCAGCGGGAATACGCTTGAATCCGCACAACTCCAGTGTATCTGAGCACACACTAGGTAATCCAATAGGTTTCTTAACAAAACCTTGCAGTTAACTAGACCAGGCAATCAAAAGAAAAACTAGAATAAACCAAAAAATCTCAACCTGAAAACAAAATATATAAAAAAACTAACAATGTTCTTGCAATACCACAATGTGATGTCTGATGTCAGCCATGGCTTTCGTTGGACATCTGACTCAGAAAAGGTGACTTGATATCTAATTTTAGCCGTTCAAGGAAAACATCATGCTGGGTTTAAATCTGTTTAAAAGAAATTTACCTGGCTTGTTCGTCTGGTAGCACTTCAATCGCTTTTTCATAGATTTCACGCGTGTGGGTGACACCGAAAATCTCCGCAGCTTGCTTAATATACAAGTTGAACATCTACGATGACACAACAACGAAAAATTAAAAGGTTGCCTGTATCCGAAAAGTAGGCTCAAGAGACCATCCAATCCCCAAAATGGCGGCTAGGAGTAAAAATTCACCATGAAGAAAAAAACAATCTTAGTGGTAAGAATGGATTGGTCTCAGCTGTAAGTATTTTTAGCAGGTGCAACCTTAGTAAGCTTGAAATAACATGACCTGGGGATAAATTACATCAGTCCTAAGAAGCTGTATTGTTTTCATATTCAAATTACTTGATATGTGCTGACCTAATACCTTATCACCTTTCCAACTATTTTCCAGATGTCACATAATGCTTTTCGTTATGATTACATGTCCCAAATACTGGTTGCTGAGAGTTTCTTCGGTGCCTAGTTTTTAAAACTAAATGTGCTCAAACTCGAAAGTGTAATGAAAATTTCAACTTTGATTACAGAAAATAGCAATCTTCTTAATTCATACCTCAAACTGCTCCTCTGGCAACACTGCTTTGGTAGATCTCTCGTAGATTGACATAGCGTGACGGGCAAGACCATGATTCTCTTCGAGTTTAGCGTACAATAAATAGAAAGCTGGAAAGGAAAATGTTCAAAACGTACAGAGGTTTGAGGGTAACGCTATAAGGGAATAAAAAAGTAATGGAATAAGACCGGAATAAATTCAATCTTACATTTAGCGAATTTGGCAGGACAGCCCTCAAGGACTTGTTCAAAGAGGTCTCGTGCACGCTCGAGTTTTGCGCCTCCCTTGGAAAAATGAAAAAAAAATTAATAAATGAGCAAAAGTTACCAAGTAACCAACAAACCAATACACAAAACTGGGGGATAAAATACGAGAGAGCGATTCAAGGAAATAATTGAGCCAAACCTTACCAACAATCTACTAATCAAAACAAACGATTGAACATTCAATCAAGTTAATAAATATTCCTGGTCTTGAAAATAGCTTAGCAACGAAAAGTGACCAAACAGGGGAGTAACATAAAAATTATTAACCCACTGAAGATACCAAACTTACATATCTTTGAATAAACTTTGTGAGGTAGGTATTCCAGATATCAAACACATTCGGCCACTTGAACATCGACACTCCCCGCTCATATATCTAACAACACAAAAAAACCACAAGTATTATTTTGTCGTATAATTTGCAAGATACTTGTACGTCGTTTATAATACGTGTGCCTGGACTGTTTCACTAAAACACTCAAATAAAGCTTGATAAGGCCAAGAACCTTGAAGGATTACGAACGCGCTTATAGGATTTAGCGTATGAACTTACCCATTGAGAAAACTTCCCATAGCTATTCAAAGTTCCTATCTTAAAAGTTTGGGAAAATACCTTGCCGTGCAGGGAGTTAGAATTTATTGTAAACACAGATTTAAAAAAGACTACTTCATGACGTATTCGCTGGCCAGCCTTCTTTTTAATTCTCATGACAGTTGTTTGTTCGATTCAAATTCTTTTTACCTCTTCGCACGAAACGTCAAAGAAATGTGACCAGCCCGTCGAGTTTTACTGACCTTGAAAGCTTCCTCAAAGTAGCGATGTTCCTCAAGAAACGTACCAAAGTTGATAATAATCTGAGGAGTTGCTATCCGCAGATCTAGAATGCGATTATACACAGCTTTGGTGGACTGAAAACATGTACAAATAATAAAAAAAAAGGTTTGAGAAACGTAATAAAACAGGCATCTTGAGACATCTCAAGCAAGCTTTCACATGGAAAAAAAAATAAATAAAAAAAAAGGTTTGAAAATCAAATGCACATGATAGTTGTTTGAATTGCTAACAACCTTTACGTATACAGCTTTCTCGACACTGGTTAAAAAAGCGAATCGAATGAGTAAATGCGTAAGCTTGGTTGTCGAACGAGGAAATATTTGATTTTATTAGCTGCACGTGCGTTTGCATCAGCAGTTACACATACGTCTGTAATTGTATCGCACGTGTGATACGCTTTACAACTTTATCTAACAAGATCGATAGAAACTAGACGTTGCCATGGTCACCTGAAATGTGCCCAGGCTCTCCTCCAAGTCTGCATACATGGACCACAATTTCAGTGACTTGTAGACTCGTTTTTGAACAGTTTCACTCTAGTAAATAACAAATAAAGAAATAACAAATTAGTTTTTAATGATAAAGTTTTACTGGCACATTACACTCTGACGTGCTGAGCCACTCACCTCATCATAGTAATCAGTTTTAGTTGAAGGCATGGCTGTAGCTCGTCTCATCAGATTAAGGGCTTGCTGATAATTTCTTCAAGTTGTTGTTAAAAACCAAAAGAAAAATGTGTTAGACTAAAACTGAAGAATAGACACTGTTAGCCAAATGTGGCAAGAAGAGGCTTTCAAACGAATACCTTGCAAAAGCATGACAGCAAGGCTGGACACTGGTAAATAACACGTTAGTCGTTAAAATAGATTTAAAATCGCTACTTTATGGTTGTTGCGTTTTGAAAAATCTAACCTACCTTTGTCAGGTTCGATATTTAATCCAAAGTGTTCTATCCCATCCTCAACCATCTTTGTACTTTACTACTCCCTCTTTTGTGTTTTTTGTACGTTACCAATGAAACTAATAGTTTCCTTTAAGTTGTAGGCTGTCTTATACAAAGCACAAATATTGTGATGAACACAACCAATTTGTTATGTACTCAACGGTTTTTCTTAAGGGGATTAGCCGTTTTTCTTGAATGGAGCCCACAAAATTTGAATCCTTCTGGTATTTTCCCTCTAAGATGGCAACAATACCACAACCTTTTGGATTTCAAGGTTTATGCAAAGGCTGCAGGGAAAAACAATATTAGAATTCGGAATCCTGCCATCTTAAGGCTAAAAACTCCCTTAAAATAGAATCAATGGTCGTTTGTTTGTAATTGGTCTGCTTTATAATTAGTTGATGAGCTTATATAAAACACATTTTTATTCACACAATTAACATAGCATCTAGTGCAAACCCTCCAAAGTTAAAATGTGTTGGAAGCAATTTCCAACCTCTTTTGAACATTTTTTTCTATTTCCACTCTAAAAACCATACTTACTCATGTCTGATTTCCATCTCACTAAACTCACACCACACACTCGCCAAATCATCCACCTTGCGGTAATTCACTTTAGTAGCCTTGTCAAATATAACTCGTGCCTCAGCCAGTTGACCATGCTGCTCGTAGAACTTAGCAAACTCCACCCACAGGGTGTGGGGTTTGCCGGATGCTAGCTTTGGCTCCACTGTCTGTACAGCCTCTGTGTAAGTGTTGATGATCTCTTTGGGTTTTGCCTCATACAGTTTAACTCTTTTGTGCCATTCATGGACATTGTGAGGGTTTTGATGTAAAAGGACACTAAGACAAAGTATAAAACGGGAAAATACTCAGAGTGATAACCACAAAGAAAATACATCCATACGAACAATATACAGCCATACATTTGTATGTTTTACCATTCCAAGCAAATGTCACATGTGAGAGGGTTTGAAAAAGTCTTACAGTTCAAAGTGATGGGAAAATAAATTCCATGTTCTTCACAGGGAAGTTTTGCTAGTATTGATAGCAAATCAGGCTTTTTATCAATTAATCTTGCCCAAGAGTAACACACTGAAAGCTAAACTGTGAGAGAAAAAATGCATATGATGCTCAAAAAAGAGAAAGACCAATGAGTTATGGATGATAATCACTGAAAAACTGTCAAAAATATCCATCAAAAAAATACTGTTCAACCATCATGGAGAGAACTTCCAGACAAAACTTACTTCTTCTCTCAAAAATGCATGTTTGTGCACACTCAAGGTTACCTTTATCACATACCTGCTCAGTAACAGTGGCCTTCTGTCCATCAAATGTTCAAATCTTGCCATTCTAAGTTCCAAGTCAATGTCATCTGATTATGAAGACAAGGAGGCCATGATAATTTAAGGTAGAAATTAAATAGCAAGTATTAGCTACATGTTTATGTTAATCTCACTTGCAGTAACAAATACCCTACACAATAACAATATCATTGTACCTTCTTCACTAGGACCCATCTCTGATGTTGTTTCCATCTTGGCACTGATCATACTTTCCTCAAACTGTGCATAGGCATCAAAAACCTAAACAATCAATAACTACATAAATCAAAAGTCAATCTCGTAGGTCATTAGACCATTGTGGGGAATTAGGTCAAAAACAACTCTTTGTCTATTCTCTCCAAAACATTCTACAAATATCCATGTGTAAGTTGTAAGTGAAGAATGGAACATCAAATTCAGTCTACAGTACAAGTCACTATCTCCAACACATTTCAAGGGTGGAACAATGAAGTGAAAACAGGAGATGAGCAGTGCTGTTGACAGAAAACTACAGGTTGGAATGATGTGCAGTACCTGACCAAAGTCTCTAACAGTCATAACTGTTTGAATAGCTTCCTCATAAACATCTCGCGCCTGAAAAAAAAAAAGATATCCAAATTACACTGTCAAATATCTTGACAGGTAGGTTTACAAAGTACATATTTTTAATTTAATGCTTTCATAAAAGAATTTGTGTAGTAATCTAAATTTTTTTGTTTTAACTGTTTACAATTTTTCACATTTGTTTCATCATAATTTCTTGTTTCCTTGTGTACTTGTTATCATGTAACAAATATAATGTTTTAACATAATACATTACAAATTCTTGAAAAAAAAAAAAAAAAAAAAACCAATAGCACAGGCTTCACCTTTTCAAAGTGCCCACTTCTTATAAAAAAATCAGCCAGTGAATTCCAAAGCTGTCCCAAGCTGTCGGAAAATCGCCGCAAACCTCCACGGATAATGTCAGTGACTTTGAGACTCTTTATCTAGAGATAAAATAGTAATCCATCCCAAGTGTTATAGAGAAGAGCCTGATCAGGTCATCCATAGGAGATTTCTTTGAAATCTGGCTACTTAAATTTCCTTACCTTATCAGGGTTCTTAGAGATAAGGTCACAAAGTTCTTGCCAAAGCTGAAAAAGAAGTAAAATCTCTGGAAACTATTGCAATTGAGAACTAAAACAAATGCTGTTAATGAAATTTTCTCCCAGCTTGATATAGAGCAAAGGTCTTAAAGTTTGACAACTACCAAGGTCACCAACAAACGCCTAAGTAACCAATCCTATTACATGAAACACACCACTAAATTCCATCTAAACTCTCTGTACTCTTTGCATAAGCACTGATTGGAAAAATTGAATTTTATTGGAATTATTGTCATTTTGATTGGTTACTTAAAGTTACTATAGTAACAGTCTATCAAGAGAAACTTGCTAATGTACTACCTTGTGGTTTGATTTTCCTTCCTTAGAAACAAATTTTTCCTGAAAAATACAAGCAAATAAATATTAGTATAATCTGTTAAAGGGGATAATTTTCTAAAGAAACTATGGTGTTGTGTTGGTGGGGGGTATTCGTGTTGGATAAAATGGTTTTATCAATTAAGTTGCTAATGTAAATAGGCCCACACAAAGAGTTTCTAAAGTTAATGTTTAGAGCATCATCTCTTTTAAAAGTAGTATAATGGGATTGTGCTATTCAACTACGCTGTATTGTTTTGTGTCATAAGGTAACATAACTGGTAGCATTGATCAATACCTTGTTAACAATGAAAGCGAGTCGTGTTGCTGCTTCATCCAGCCATCCAACAGACTTCAAATAATCAATGTAATCTTCTGTGTTTTCTGGCTCCAACTTTTTTAAACAAAAATTTACAAAATAGATTTCCTCTTTATCTAATTTTAGACTGTCTTTTAACACCATACTATATTTTAACCATGATCACAAGCAACAATCTACAGATCACAAGCTAGGAAATTCTAGGAAAGATTCACAGGAGCAACTTAATCTGAGCTAAACAAGAGGCAAATACATGTACATGTAGAGCAGAATTATAACTATTTTACTGTATTATCAACTTAAAGTGAAAATTTCCTCACCTTATCTCTACCATTTAGCTTGGACAACACAACATGATTTAAAGCAATACCAAGTCAAATATCAATGAAACCTATCATTGATTTGAAATGAATATTTACTCTGTCCATCATTATTGACCACAGATATAAAATCTTTCTCTCAGTTGTATAATGTGCAATGTCTTCCTAATTGGCTTAGAAAATCGCATAATTGTTTGAAAGAAGTTGAGTGAACAAACCTTTAAGTATCTTCGGTAGACTCTGACTGCTGTCTCAGGAATGTGGTACTTGCGAACAAACTTAAGATACAAAGGCCAGATCCGACGGTGTTGTGTTATTGGCAGTGCCCTCAATGCTCTGTCAAATGTGCGCCTTGTTCTTGTCACTTTACACTGATCCACTAAAAACTGACAATAGTCTATCCAGATCCTTGGCATCTAGCAATTGTATAACTATCAGTAAGTATTGACAACACAGTTTCTCTTAGTAGAATTTAAAAGATTCCAGCATTAAAAAGCCACATGAAATAATAAAGGAGTAGGAAATGTCGTCATCTTGAAATTAAACGACTTTTATATTTTGAAATCTACTTGATATAATAGACAGGAGTAGAAAAAAAAATTCTACAATTCATTTCCTGAAGCCTTGTGCTGGGGTCTGTTTAATCATTGCATTTTAAATCATCAAAATTGAGCTTTCTACATTTTTCGCTGAAGTTGCTTGAGATTCAGCTTACCACACCTTATGCATGAAGACAAGAGATCTTTCAAATGCATTGTTTATGTCCTCATAAGCAGGGTCTGTAATAGGCCTGAGGAGAAAATTCAGATATTAAAGTGTTCAGCTTTTACTTTGCACACACATTTTGAATATATGTTCAATTTGAATGATTTATGTTTGACATGATGAGAATTACTCCTCGATTTCCATTATTTTATCAAAAATATAATTTAAAAAATATTACTACTCCTACGAACCTCCCTCTGACTTGTCTTCTTCTTTCTTTCAAATACAGATACCAGATCTTGTAGCTGAAATATTTTAGGCAAAAAAATATGATATTTAATTATAATAAACATATTTTACTTTGAAAGTCCCACTAACACATACTTACCACCCTTTTCATATCTCAAGAGCATCTGCTTGGAGAGCATCCACTATGATATTTTGTTTATCTTTTGATTTAACCACAAGTGGACTATACACACAAGCTCAACCGTACCTTCCAGGAAGTTCTTTAAGAGATCGCTCATAGAGCAGATTCAGTGCTGTATTGGAGCCCTTTTTGGCCTTGTGCTCAATGTACCTGATCCAGAACTTCACAGAATAAGGACTTCGAATTATTTCCTCCTCATAGGGGAGGTCCTCTTCTTCCTGAAGCATAATTTTATGAAAGTGTCAAGAACTATCCCTGGCCAGACATTTCAGGTAAAATTTTTTTCGAAAGGAAAAAGTTACTTTTAAAAGAAACAAAGACCTAAACACTGATTCACCTGTCCCATGACAATGTTCGTACTTAAATTAGTAGTAATTGGAAGAAAGCTATCGTAGACTGTTTGTCAAAGTATTCCCCGCGACCATATTTTCTGCTGATCATGAGTTCTCATTACGAAATGTTGTAGCAGGAAATTAGATCAAAGTAAAAGGAAACTATTCTCCACATCTCCAGCTCAGGCCATCGAAAGTTAGATGGAGAAGTCTCCGATGAACATCCTCTCTTGCCATTGATAAAAGTAACTTGTTACATGAAATTTGTGCAGCATTGCTTGTTATGACAAACGTGTTAGGATACTTACTATGATAAGGTTGTTGGATGTCACCGGCATTGTAGGTCTCGAGAATCAGTTATATCTTTACACGATGTTGATTCCCTAAAAATTTTAAATCATATGGCCAGATCTACCCCGCGGAACTGTCTTCAGTACACAACAAATTCTTCAGAGATCGTCGCCATTACGAACATTCTGAGCCAGTAGTGTCAAATAGTAGCGGATGTATTGAAATCAACATGCGTCTCAGCTTCCAGCTCAGTGAAATCACTCGGTTACCAAGCGAAAGGTTCAGGTTCGGTTCAGATCCTAAAACGAACATTGTGGATAGAACGAGAGGGCTCTAAATTAGCGTTTAGAATGAGTGATTTACCACCTGGATGGGAAGAGAAAAAATCTAAGTCTACTGGAAAGACCTACTACTTCAACAGAGGAACAAACGAAAGTCAGTGGGAGAAGCCAGTAGAAAGAGCGAGTAATCAAGTTCGCGCTTCGCACCTTCTTGTTAAACACACGGAGTCTAGAAGGCCGTCTTCTTGGAAGCAAGAAAGGATAACGCGCTCTAAAGACGAAGCTTTAGAAATAATTAAAGGTATCATAAAATAAAACTCGGTCCCCTCTTAAAATGGTCGTGACTCTGTCATTGCACGCTTCTAGCAAAGAATTCACAATCTCGATGGCCTCGATTTTTGGAGATGGCAGCGCCCATTCCCCACCCCACTCTGCCTCGTGGGCAAATGATGAGCAACTTCACGAAAAAATATGGTTGTGTTAAACAATTAAAACTGGAGAAATACATTTCAATCAAGCTGCTTTCAAGAACTCTCATTTTAGAGTGAGATTATCTGAATGTTTTAGCATATACAGTGCTAGGGCCAAGTAGAGTTGCATTTAAGAGCAAAGCAACGGACAAGATCCCCGGAACAAAAAGGAGTAAATTCCTTTTTTCTGTGCCCCTGCTCTCCTTTGAAATGCTTGTATAGTCCATCAAATTTGTGATCCTAGAGTCAAATTTTCTGTCATTGCATAAACAAACATCTTTGGAAAACAATGGCTATGTATCTACTTTTTCTTTTTGCAAAATTTTGTAGTTTTGACAACCTCATTGTAATGAACCCTTTACATCCTTAATTTTGTCCCTCTCATAAATTTTGTACTAGTGCACTGAACTTAGCAAAATTTTGTGATTCCTGAGTAGGCAAAACAGGGGATAACACTTCACTTCAACAACAGTAATTGACAAGAATCAGCTTTGTGCCAATCAGCCCAATGAAGTTCATCAAAGGCTAACATCAACATTGATTAATCAGAACATTTAGTAACCCTTTCCCTCCCCCCCTCCATCTCAAATAAGCAAGCTATGGATGACTGTTATTATTGGCTGCATCAATATGGTTTTGTATTCTGACTAAGTTGCTAGTTCTCTCTTGTGTGAGGTCACTTTTATGTGGCAACTACTCCTTGTTATGTCTTACAGATTATCGTAAACGGATTACATCAGGAGAAACCACTCTTAAGGAGCTAGCAAGCACAGAGAGTGATTGTAGTAGTGCCAGAAAGGAAGGAGATTTGGGATTTTTTGGACCAGGACAAATGCAAAGTAAGACAATACTATTTTTTCTCTCCTATAACTTTAATGTGTTCTCTCTCTTGATGAAATTACTAAGACTTCACATGGTTGGACATAAACACTTCACCAGAGAGAATTTGCTGTTATTATCATGTATTTGAGGTCTGCAATGATGACTTGGATAGAAAAAAAAAGATACTATAGTTTGAAGCACATCTGCAGTAGTGATTGAAATAAAGCATCCCTAGATACTATATTTCCTGGAATAAGTGCCCAGGTGCTTATTTAAAATTTCTGCTAAAGGAGGGCACCTATCTAGAGGAGGGCACTTAATTGTAGGGGGTGCTCATTATACTCCTGAAATGATGCCATTGTAGTTCAAGCTTTAAGAGTCATATGTAGAGTGGCAATAGAAACAGGTTTTTCTCATATCTCAACTATTTAGGAAATGAGGGAGGATTGGGGGGGGGGGGCAGCACTTATTTGAGAGGGGCGCTTGGCTCATGGCTTAGGAAGGGGTGCTTATTTGGGGGAGGGCACTTGTTAGTGCATTGGCACCTATTCAAGGAAATATGGTTTACATGTATTGGTGAGAATAGGATTTGATTTCATAATTGTCCCATGAAACCTGCAGGGTGGCACTCTAACCAATGAGGAGCTAGCCTGCAGGTAATTAAAATCATATATGAATTTGTTGATTTGTTTATTTTGTTTATTACTGAGAAGTGGGTCTGTTTCTTTCCTTTCAGAACCATTCGAGGAAGCAACGTGAGTATTCTCACTCCTTTAATAAACACAGATTATTTTCAAATTTCTGAGAGAGATAAGAATGGCTGATGAGGAATGAAATCTTTCAATAATTCTCTTCTCTTCTCACCAGTAGGTGGTATTTCTTTGTGTTCAGGTTGAAAGCGATATTGTCAGACTTTCTCCTAGTTTACATACCTCTATCTAAGGTGTTGAGAGAATTCTGGAAAGTCATGCAAACCTGGTATGCATATAGATTTCTCTCAAAAATTTTTTTCTGTTGCTTTATTGCTCTATTGCTCATCTGAACACAACTACTGACTGGTGAGAGAGAGTTGCTCATCATCTCCAGTATTTTAGAAGGCTGATGTGAAGTCTGTCTAAAGATCCCAGATGGAAGGTTTTAGCCTTCCAAGTCATTTGAATCTGGTTTGTTCTAAACTGGTAGAGTTTCAAATATATAAAACCCTAGTTTTCAAATAACTTCTCCCTTTAAATGGCATATCATCTATGCTGGTCAGTTTCAGTAAATGGCTATCTCAGAAAGTAATCTGTATATTTTAATTAAATCTTTCAATATTACTCAATCTTTTTTCTTTTTTGCAGGTTTGCCCTAGAAATCAATGAACTGAGTGAACCAGTTTTCACTGACTCAGGTATTCACTTGATTCTCAGGACGGGATAAAGCAATCACCAAGTCCAAGAACAAAGTTCATATTTAAATAATCATGTAGACTTGCTAATATTACAAGAAAATCACTTAACTTTGAAGCTTTCATTTGGCTACTTTTACCTTACATCATAAGTATTGGTTAAAGTTGTGTATGAACTAAAACACAAACAACCAGTTTGGAAATCTGCAGTCTAGATGAATAAAAAAGGTAACCATAACATCCACAGGGATGAAAATATTTTGTACATCATGTTTAAGGATAGCTCTCTTTTCTAAAACACAATTTGATTGTTGAACTTAACATGTCAAAATGATCACTTCTTCAAAGTATTTCTAGCTTTCATTATTATGTTCCAGAAGTGATCATCCTATAATTTTCCTTTTCACAAGGCAAAAATATAATAAGTAAACTTCCATTAAATTCTAGGTTGCTTTATACCAGTCCATCAGATATATTGAGGTTTTATGCTTACCAGTTCCCACAGTAGTGTGTAATTTCTGACAGTGGGCTTTTCAAACAAGTTTTGTCACCAAATTCAACCTAATAATAACAGCTAATCAGCACTTGGGTAGATATCATGCTAAGCCAGTTGAAACTGATGGTAAAACCAGGCAAAATGTGTCTAGTGGTGATTGGTTTTAGTTTTGTAATGGATTAGTAATGTGTATTATCTAAGTTTTCTTCACAAATTATGGAGCAACATAAACCAAAGGCATGATGATCCTACATAACTTTTGACACCCAATGGGCAATTTTTTTATTGATCTCCTTGTTGTGACTAACTAACACTGTGACTACCAGTAACTAATTGATATTAAGCTGATAAAGTAAATGAGAGGCAGAAGAAGTGTAGAATCTTTATTATTAGGAGGATGAATTAAATGAGCTTAAAATTACTTCTAGGTGTCAATGAAGTTTATAATAAAAACTACAGTTATTTACATCAAAGTACATGAACTGTAAGGTGCACATCCACCTCTTGACCAATATGGAAACAGATATCGATTACGTCACTTTATGGTGATTGAGTGACACCATGAATTCAGTTTGTGGCAGATATTTTTTATTACCTTTAACACCTTTTTATTACCTTTTATTACCAGCTTAACAAAGCAGAGATGTGATGGTCTGTAATTGTTAGTAGAATACTAGAACTAGTTCAATAAGTGTAGCCTTAAGAATTCATATTCTAGAGTAACTCAGATGTTCTGTTCTAGTTTTTTTT